TTAAATACCTCATGAAATGGCAAAATGAAGCACAAAAGTTTCTATTTCCTTTTCACTTTCCTGTTTGTTATATTCTAACATAAAACATTTAATCACAACTATTCAAGTTGTAAAGCAGAACATGTCAAAAAATATTTTTTTATCATTGTGCGCCTAGTACTTATTTTTTTGAACACAACTGTATGAAAGTATGTATTCAGGTACTATGTTATACAATCTATATTTTCATTGTGCATTTTTCGCCGGTGAACAAACAAAGAGTGGTGCTACGGTCGCGGCAATACATATCAACAGCTATGTATTTCTAATGGACAACAACATTGTTTTACCTGTATAGAGGTTCCGGTCTTTTGTAGTGAATTACGTAGAAAGCCGAAGGGAAAGATACTGCCATAGTGGCCAGAGTCCCGACGAAAATGTACGATAGCGCCCGGGATAGCTGAGGTGCCACCACGGCACGTAGGCGAAGTGGAGGCGGGATTCAGCGGCGACATCTCGGAGAAAGCACGGCCCACTTGCGATAACCGAGGCGCAATGCGACGCCGCTGCTCGCTGCTCTGCTCCCCGACCTCATCCTCGTTTCTCATATTTTCCATTTCTTATGCAATCAATTTACGAGTAACTTTTATTTGTTAATTTGCGACAATCTGCACACACTCTTTTGAAGCTTACATATAATTTAGTTTTATTATAAGGTTTATAGTTTCTCAGGCATGAATTTTGTAAAAGCAAAACACAAATCCTTGGAAAAAATCAACACATTGTGATCTACACAAACAAACAAAAGCAAAAAAAAACAACAAACAAACGTCGAATGTTAACAAATCGATAACAGCAAAGTTCGGCAGAACAGAGAGACCTGCTGGGAAGAGCGGAGACGTCACACCGGTGAAAGTGCGCGATTTCAGTCAGCTTCAGTGCGAGTAACTAAACTAACTAATTACCGGCGCGCGCGCGGATCAACTAATGGCGCGTATCAACTCGAACAACAGTTACACCGTGTATTTTGTTTTGCCCCAAAAACAATGACAGACAGACAGACAGACAGACAATGTTTACCCCATTTAATATTTGAGCGATGAGAAGCAGCAGCACTCGGCGTTGTGATGAATTATTTTGAGTATTTAGCACAACGGACAGCAGAGGAGATCGCTCCAATTTGTGTGTACAATTCAGTGATTAGGAATGTCTGTGTCTTTGCAAATCGGCTGCAGAGGTTCCAGAGGTGGCTCTTTGTTCTATCGCAGAAAGCAATGAAGACCCATAAGGTGTGCGTAACACACACCCACACATACGAGTGTGTATGAGTATGTGTATGTCAACAAAATGCTAGACATTTAAACGAGATAAGCGCCCAGTCGAGCGCGAATTTTTCGTTGCATTTTTGGAATATTGTTTACTTAGGCCTGAATACAATTGAATTTCATAAAGACTCTCGAGCTTCACTGAATTCTTCAAATGGTCTACTTCCATACACAAATACAAACATACGTACATACACTGGCGGCAGAAGTAATAGACTCGTCGTACTTTTAAGAATTTTGGCTATATTTATTTAGTTTACTTTATGTTTAATTTTTTTATAAAAGCCTAGGTAGCTATGCAACAAACATCATATAAGTCCGCTTTTCAAAATTTGAACAAAAATTATAAAAATTCGACAAATTTTCACCAAATTTTCAAACCATCTTCTAGCCACTTGAAACTTGCACTTTATTTTACAAAAATTTTTCTAAAGTTTAAAAATTTGGTGATAATTTGTGGCATTTTTTATAATTTTTCTATAAAGTTTGAAAAGGGGATTTACATGAGGTTTGTTGTATAGCTAGCCAGGCTTTTATAAAAAAAATATTAAACATAAAATAAACCGTGAAAGAATAGCCAAAACTCTTCAAAGTAAGGCGAGTCTATTATTTCTGCCGCCACTGTATGTATGTATCAGCGATGCCAATTTGCGGGGAATTTGTCTCATTGCGGCGAATCGGGGAATCACTGCCTTCTGCGGGGAATTTTGACTATTTAATTTTAAATCGTGAAATAACTTACCTAGAGTGCAGAATACTCTTTCTAAAATTTTATTTTTAAGTCACAATTGCAACTGCCAATTTCGCATTAGCAAGACTGATGTCAGCAATCAAAGCGAATTTAATTCGCCTAGTCAGTACAGTGGGGAAGTTTACAAACTACTTAGTTAGTTCAATGCATTAGGTCATTGATTTGATCGAACGAACTAGTTCGCAATTTTAAATGAACTATTTGCTCCAGGCTGCCGTTTTTTTCAATTTATCTCATATTCATTTATATATACACACTGAATAATGCAATTATTTATTCATTTATTAATATATGCAAATATATTTTCATTAGCTAACATTATAAAAAAATTTAATTGGCTTCTAAAAATTTCGAGTAAAAAGTTGAAAATTTTTATGATTTTTTTTTTTTGATTTGTCGAATTTTCGCGCTGGATTTTAATTCGCTTTATCGTTAAATCGTCTGCGATATTTGCCATCGCCAACGCGCAAAGTTCAAGTACATATGTACAAATTTTATAAATTTTTGTTAATATTCGTAGTAGATAACTATTCACTTAGTCATATTACGAATGGTTGAAACTTTATAATTCAGAGAACTGATTATTTTTTCTTATTTCATAAAGAAAAGTCGCAAAAAATTTCAAATATCACTCTAGTAATGAAAAATGCGCTGTAAAAGCCAAATTCTGAACGCCATTCCCATATCCAAAGGCGAGCACTGTGGTGTTGTGTTTAGCAGTGCGCGCTTTCATTCCGCAGAGCCTGGGTTCAAACTCGGTTCCATCCAACACAAAAAAAATAAAAATAAAAATAAAACAATAAAAAACATTTTTTTTTTCTGATAGCGGTCATAAAAATAAAATCGCCGTCCGGAGCCAGCTTAAAACTGTACGCTGAAGCTTTATAGCAGTGCCGGCCACACGAATACTAAAGGTACGGTGCAAATTAGATTTATACGATACGCGATAAAATAGGCGATGAAAACTGTGCACACTTGCACGACAGCGACACTGTGGCGACATAAAATCGCTTGCGTATCGGCCGAGCGACACTGTTTGCCATCACACCACATATGGAATCGACACGGGATCGTATCGCTCTAATGTGCACTGCGCGCATATCGATGTCGCATTCATATCGTATCGCGTATCGTATCGCTACGGCCAGTTAATTAATTTATTTTATACGGGACGACCAATTTTCTGTACTTCTTTTATTGTCCTATACTTGTCCCGTATTCGGTGCTCGTTATTTCGACGCCTTAACAACTCATTAAAATGGCATGCCTATGAACCAGTTTTAAATGATGTTGGTATGTGATCGTAATTTTCTCCATAATCAGTTATTATTTTTTAATCTGAATGCCTGTGATTCGAATTGATGAACATAAACAATGACCAAAACAAAAATTAGGACTCTACATTTTATCAAGGTTTGACTATTTTTCTTTTGGTTATTAAATGTTAAATGTCGGCCGCTGTGGTGTAGTGGTAAGCAGTGCGCGCTTCCACTCCGCAGCACCTCGGTTCAAACCCTGGTCAAAGCAACATCGCTAAAAATATAGAAAAAAGGTTTTTTCTTAACAGCGGTCGTCCCTCGGCAGGCAATGGCAAACCTCCGATTGTATTTCTGCCAAGAAAAACAGCTTCTCATAAAAAACAATCGCCGTTCGGAGTCGGCGTAAAACTGTAGGTCCCTCCGCTTTGTGTGACAGCATCAAGGCGCACGCCACAGATCGGAGGAGAAGCTCGGCCAAACACTAACATTTGTGTAAGCGCCAATCTATTATTATTATTATTAAATGTTTATTATTTTTTTTATGAAAGTAAAGCTCTTTGAAAATTAATTATGCAAAGCTTCACCAAAATTTCAAACTTTTTAATCAGGATCTTTAGAAGAAAATTTGGTTGAAGTGTTGTAGCTCATTAAGATTGATTATAGTGAAGTGAGCAGCACCAATTGCTTCCCTTTGTATGAAAGAAAATGCGTAGTACCGTCAACAAAAAATATTGCCAAAAATGAACGGGAAGTTCTATCTACTTCAAACTTGTACTTTGTAACAAATTTTGTGGGGTAAAAATCTCGAGAAAATTATCCTACCAATGTGTGATGTTACTACAAGGATGCTGTTTCAAAGTTAATACATCTAGGATCATTTAAGAAGGTTTTAAGATCTGTTAGCCTTAGTGGAATAATAAGCAAAATTATTTTTGTCCCGTATTCGCCTCCCATAAATATGGTCACCGTACGTATCGCATATCGTATCTCCTAATGTGCACCGTGCCTAAAACATCTGCATAAACTTCGTGCATACACAAACAAGAATTCACAGTTACTCTTACTAGCTGACATCACAATTCGGATTTTTTGACTATCCTGATATTTCCACATCTGAATAAAAAATCCGAATATTCGGATATCCGAAGAGTGTATAGATAACCGGATATTCTAATCTAAAATTGTATAATAAAATAACATCTGTTTGTGTATAAATGAAGAGTCGTCCTATTTCACTGTACAGCACTCGGCTGGGGAAATTACTTTTTTACCTATGACTCAATCTCTTAAAAAAAAATGGTTTGGTCCAATACCCAGAAAAAAAGTTGATTTTGCCGTACAGTGTTATCATTATACACGTATTTTATTTATTTATTTATTTGAGAACAATTTAACGAATCCGCTAAAATACTTAGAATATCCTAGTGTTCGGATTTTATATGCGTATATACGAACATCCGAACGAATATTCGGTTCAATTACACACTGTGAATTATCTCAATTCAAAAAACAAAAACAAACTTTATTGTCGCAAATGTTTTAAAGCTGATTTTTGCAGTTTTTTTTTTTGATACATTTTTTAATTAAGACGGCCTTCCAGCAAAAGTGCGATATGCACAGATGTCCAATAATTTGTTTTTGTTTAGGCTTAACAAAATTTCAGTTGCATAGTTATAGGCGCAATAATTGATTTAACAGAGACATGTTGGTGTGAGTGCATGAAAAATATGTAAATGTGTGTGGACAGGTAGAATGAACAGCCACTTGTGTGCCGTTGTTATCACTACTCCAGTATCTATATCTCTTAGTAAAACGATATAAAATATGTACCTGAAAACACATTTATAGGTATGTACTATGCAAATATGTAAATATATAATAGACATACATATGCCTGAATTCAAATAAGTTAAACTCTTTTAAATGAGAAATGCATTTTTAGACATACATACGTGCATACTTGGAAGCTATAGTTGATTGGGTGGAACAAAATTTTTCACCGCTGTTTGATAGATATCACCTTTTATTGCATTTACTTCTGAATTTATGGTACCACGTTCGCGGCTATGGATATATCGTCGTTTAAAGTACAAAACCGCGTATGTGAGGTTGCATAAATTATTTTCTAGATAGTCAAAACACTCAGATTTCAAAATGGTTGTCGTTTTTATAAAGCAATCGCATTTCTGGCTAGTATATTTTAGGACGAATGGATAAAGATTAAAATGAAGAAAAATGTCATTTACGCGGTTTTGCAGAATGACGATACGCGGCTTTGTGCTTTAAACGACGATATGTGCATAGGACTGGTTGTTTTTCAAAATCTCCGTGAAATGTATTCGGAACATTGAAAAATGAAGACACTTGCCGATTTTTTTCCATATAAATAACACAGGAAAAAACTTGTTTAAATTTAAAACTTCATAACTCGTTTCTAAGGCAACAAATCGGAGTTGACGATATAGCGGCACTTGAGTGGGAGGATCGACCTCACTCGGCAGCCAGTTCGAAAACGCCCTATCTCGGAATTCGGTTCAAAAACGCCCTATCTCAGCACATTTTCAATATATTTTAAGTTGTGATAGGTTTTTTTTTTTTTTTGCGAATTGTGAGATAGGGCGTTCTTCAACCAAAAATTCTAAGATAGGGCGCTTTCGAACTGGCTGTCGAGGGCGTTGCGTAATTTCCTCCATATAAAAATAGATTTTGTTCATGCGTTATGTACATGGGGCAAAAATGCGCAATTTCATCGACAAAAAAAGTTCTCAAAGAATTTTCAAGCCTGCATATTATTATACTAAAATTCAATGGGCTACAAAACTGCATACCCAAAAAGTTACTGAAAGTTATAAAAAAAAAGTTGAAAATTTTGATGATTTTTTTTTTTTTGAAATTCGTTAAATTTTCCTGAACTGTACACAAAGTTTTAAACTTTGACTTATATGGGTTATGTT